CAAAATAATTTTCTAATACTAACTTTGGTTCATAATTTTCATGTCAAAATATACTCTCCCGTGAGTCCCGTCCCATAAAATTCTTTCCACTTTGTCATCTTGTACATCTTCGGTTCTATCAGCTTTCAATTCTCAATGTATATACTTACTTTATGGTTTTGAAAAATGAAATGGAAAACAAAGTAAATTTGGAAATCATCTGTTCAAATTTGAGAAAATGAAAAATTGGAAATTGAAAATAGAAAAAAAAAATTAGAAAACCGGAGAAATAAGTAAACTGGCCCTAAGTTTTGTCAAGGGCTATTTTCTTGAACCTTGATTATTACCTTGAACCTTATTTATTTTGATTATTACACATCGCGACGGGTGAAAATGTTGATTGCTAAGGTAGATAAGTTTTTTTGGAAGAAGATGGCTTATAATGACTAATAGAATTTAGGCAAGTTACAAAAAGATTAAAAGTCTCCTTCCGACCGTCTGCTCTCGAACCAAACTTAGAGTTAATCGTCTTCAAGAAAGCAATATGACTCGATCATCTTATGAAGGGCTTAACAGAGCCAATGACAAGACATATCTTTCATCAGACAAACTAAATTTTAGACTTCTGCTAGCATGAAACAAAAACACACCCAAAACAACATCCAAATCAAAATAAAAGATGAAAATAAAAGCAAAATAATTCAAATAAAGTTGTCTCCTCATAATTACGAGAAACCTGACCATGTACCCTTGGGGTACAACCTCCTCAGAGACACAGGCGAGCCTGGTAAATGGTAGTCAGCGCCCGCCTCCTCCCAGTTTTTTGGATCATCTGGGGTCATTGCTTTCAACCATTTGATCCTCTTTCTCCCGCTCCATAGAGCTACTCTTGCAAGAGAATTCGTTCGAGACGAAGCAACATATTAGCTACCCACAGTCGCCGATGACCTGCAGAAAAGTGCAACCCCTTGTCTTGCATTCCTATGGATGAAGTGATGCAGGAACCCCACGATAGTCCACCAATCAGCAATGCATCCTTAACAATCATAGGATGTTTTTTACTTAGACTGCAATTTGCTGATCTGATCTGGTCTAGTTTGGTCTGGTCTAAATTGATCTAATTTAGTAAACGTTTGGTCTTTGTGTACTTTATATGTACAGAAGTCAAGTCTGATCTGGTCTAGTCTGTTTAAGTCTGATCTGGTCCGATCTGGTCCGATCTAATTTGGGACTGCAAACAATTCAAGTAAAAACATCAAAAGTACAAAACAATCCACAATAAAGCAGGTTCGAAGCTGCAATGGGAAAGCCGAACGAACGAAATCGGCGAAAAAACTACATATTATAGGGAGATGGTTGCAATCCATAGTCTCCATATTCTCTAGTATGCTGGAGTATGCTAAGGCCGGTAAGTTAAAAAAATAGTGTCATTTAAAAGACTTTAAATTACATGACTTTTAAGAGAATGAAATTTGTGCAATTGAGAGAAATATGAATATATAGAAGGAAAACTGTTTTATTTCTAAATAAAGAAGAATTAGAGCAACTTTTTAGGATAGTCAACAAAAGAAAATGAGAAGAATATATGAAGTAGAGCCACCATTAGTCCATTACTTTAATTAGTGTCGAACTTGTAATGACAAATTTCTATTTGCGTTCTTTTTTACTTTTTGTCCCCAGTTTTGATGGCAAATACAATATTAGTTCTTAGACTTTCATTTCCCTAATGATGTCATTTATGGCCTTTCAAAAATATTTCTTCCAAAATTATTATTAAATGAAGGCTCTAGGCCACCACCAAATCAATGATTTGGTAATAGTCTTAAGGTTGGTTTGCAACTCATTTTAAAAAAGCACTTTCCAGCTTTTTGCTTTAAAAAAGCACTTATTTTCCCAAACACTACAACTTTTATTTTTCTCGGCTTCCGCGTCAAAAGTGCTTTTACTTTTTCTATTACACAAAAAGCACTTATTTTACCAAACACTACCCACTTTTACTTTTCAAAATCACTTTTTTCTCAAATACTATCAACTTTTATTTAATCACTTCTTCCCATTTCATTAAAAAAAGCACTTTTTTAAAAGCAGAAGCTGTTGCAAACAGAAATCCAAACTTGTGCACATCCATATTGTCACTGCCATGATGTCATAAAATCATAGACTCATTAGAGGCCTAAGAGATTTCTTAGGTATGAGAGAGATAGTAGATACACAAAAACAAAATATTTATATTTCTATTTATTTATTTCCACGATTTTATATAATTTTAATAATTTTTTCTTAACAATGTCAACCACAATGTCTACATCTAGACATTTGTTTTAATATTGTGATTTTTTTTACCAAACACATGTAAGACCTTTCAGTTAAGGAGAGAGATGCATTGCTTATTATAGAGTAATATATACGTGCCTATCTCTCTCATGTCACATGTGCATCGTGCACATTGTGACATTGTAGATGCTCTAAGATGCAAAATAATTCATGATCACTAAAATAAATAATTACATAGTTATTACTAAAATTAAAGGTGTTTATAAAAATTAGACATTTCAAGTGCACTCATTATAATAATTACCTTTGTCATTATTGAAGTTTATTCCTTCAACCCGTATGCCCAACACATAACATATGGAGTTCGAGTGGAGGAGTGTATGAAAGTATAGAATGCAAGCAAGAAAGATGGGCTAAAGTGTATCTGCAATAATGGGTTGTATCTTATTAATGTTAATAAGGGTCCGCATACAACACACTTATGTTATCTAGCCTGCGGCCGATCGTCTATCTCGCTCCTAAAAGCTAGGGAGAATGCTTGAATGCTAAGCCGAGTAAGTTGCCAACCTTTTACAATGAAATAAATGCTACTATTTATATTACCAAACGACAAGTGGATATGATGTCGTGGAGGGCTGTGGGTGGCTAGGCTCCCAACCACCAAATCTTCAGCATTAGATGCGCTTCCCGCCAGAATCCTGGTTTCTGCCAATCTCTAGGGATGAGCATCCATTTGGTCCTGGGCCATTCCAGAATGGTGGAGTCAAGAGGCAGTGGCCGTGCGTTGCCAGTGTGTTGCTTGGTTGTAAATGTCGTAGTATACCGGCTAGTCTTTGTAGCCAAGGCTTCCGAGGCCGAGTGTGGCTACCCCTGGTGGGCTTGGAACATGGGGACGACCACCTGGTGGGCCTCTTCGCTTAAGGGGGTAATGGGTTGACCCCCTGGTTGGGCCATTAACCCAACACTCATAGTAACTTTCATAAAAGAGTTTAGAATGTTTTCTGTTGGATTGTATTCAGTTTCAGACTGAACCAGATCATACATAAAAGACCATACTTGAACAATTATACAATACACAAAGAACAGACATTTACTAGACCAGACTAATTCAAACCAGGTTAGACCAAACTTAAACAGACCAGACCAACAAATTTCTGTCCAAAAGAAAACATCCTTAGTAAAAATAATTAAACATAATATTGTGAAAGAGCGGCGATACACCAAGCTAGAGTTGGGAAGAGAGTTTTGTCGTCGGCGGCACACGCAGTTGTGCTGAAATCGAACACAAACGATTTTCTTCAAGGAGCATAGCAAGTCGGTAGATGGCGGTTGAGTTTGGTATCCGGCGGCGTGCTTTCGGTGCCGAAAGTGAAGACATGACAGAAAACTAAATGAACAAGGAGTTGGTCAAGGTTAATGTTTTATCACAAGCCTGTGATTGTTTGGTAACAAGATGAAGTATTGACGGTACACCCCCCTCCTAAGGGAGTGTTTGCGATTGCTTTAACTTTAAAAAAATGATTTTTTAAAGTGATTTTGGGAAAAGTGATTAATAGTAAAAGTTGGTAGTGTTTGAGAAAAAAGTGATTCTGAAAAAGTAAAAGTTGGTAGTGTTTGGTAAAATAAGTACTTTTTGTGTAATAGAAAAAGTGAGAAGCAGTTTAAAGCACCTTCTACCTGCTTCCAGCTTTTAGCTTTTAAGTGATTAATTTAAGCAGAAGCTATCATTTGAAAACACTCTTTTCAACTTTTTTTTAAGCCAAAAGCGCTTTTTTTAATCAATCCCAAACACTCCCTAAATCTCCACCATGGAGTGACCGAGTGTTTAAGGTTTGAAAGACGACATTTCAAATTTGGAATCAGACGTCTGTAAATTCTTGCTCTATATGTATTTCAAGTTTTATTTTTTATTCGTTAGACTTTTTACCTTGTTTTTGAATTATTTGTGTTAGTGACAATTTTAAGGCCATTACTTGTTTCGAAGCTCCCATACATTTAGAAAAAAAATCCACTCTATTTTGAGTGAACTTTTCTATGTTTGATTAGGAACTAAAAGGAGCTTTTTGCTATTACGTAGTATATGAGTTTATTGGAGTGAAGAAAAATATGATGACCTTAAGAACCCTATATTGCCCTTTTGGTGATCAACGATTCACCCTGCTTCTTTAAAAAGTGGTCATCTCAGAGTATGATTGTATGATATTTCTTGAGTCTAAATGAAGATTTTTGAAACATAGATGGTAGATTTTGAACTTTTGATTCAGAGTATGATTGTATGATATTTCTTGAGTCTAAATGAAGATTTTTGAAACATAGATGGTAGATTTTGAACTTTTGATTGGTTATACTGCAAACCACGATTGTTTAAATTAATATAATCTGACAACTTCCAGTAAATAAATTTAGTTCCAGTAAAATTGATTTTGTTTGATGATTTGCGCACAAACTTTACCATATAAATTAGGCTAAAGGGTCAAATAGGCCCTCGAACTAAAAAAGTGCAAATCACCCCTCATATAAGGAGGATCTGTCCGGCCACCGCCATTTAGGGCGATTCCCGATGAAATTTTTTGATGAAATTTTTGTGCATCTTCAATAAGTCTAGTTTACACGTACCAAATTTCAACTAAAAATTCAATCAGGAAGGCAATCAAATGAATTTTTGAAGATAACTGCGCAGTTAAACAATGCAGTACATTTCACAAAATAATCATTTGTCATTAAATGATTATATAAATAACGAAACATGGCTCTAACAACACATCATTTGTCATTATTTTTCACCCAAACGGAAATAAGATATACGATGTTGGGAGTATTAGAGTGTTGACACTTGACAGCGAGTCCGAATTTACATTGTTTAACACAATATTTGAGGAGCTACACTTGAATAAATATGCAAGCAAAAACAGCACAACTTAAATCATCTCTACCCCATGAACTCAAATTAGGTGAGTCTCAAACTTGCATGTATGTATAAAATACACATCTTAAAGTTTATATTATAGGTGATCTCTACCCCATGAATTCAAATTATTTATTTCAAAAATGGAAACTTAAGATGCTATGTGCACCCTTTTAAATGTTTAGAGTATTTAAATCGTGCACCTAATACTGTAAACGTACATTTCACAAATATGGTGCTAAAAGCCTAAAATACTTTAACCATATAGATCATGACATTTATATCTTACATGCAAGTTTGAGGTATTAAGCTCACATTTACAATGTTTGGGATATTTGAGTGACTGTTCTCTTTATTATATGTAATTCAGTATATTAGGGAGTATTATGAAGGTATTCTAGTAAGGCAGCTATGAGCTCTTAGACAGCAAAAGTTTCTCTTCTTCCTCCAGCCTTTTCAACCATCTCAAACCAAGGTCACACCCTCCATCTGCAGCCAATCCAAACTGTTCTCTAGCCAGTTCAACCGGGTTTAGCTCTGGCTCTCCTTGCCTTTTTGATGCCCTCTTCCAAGGCCTCTTCGTATAAAACTTGGCAATTGATTCTGGAACTTTGGCCCCTGACCCAGGCGATTCAATGGCAGAGGATAACATTGACAAATCTTAGTTTTAGAAAGGAGTTCAGTGATCAATCACAACATGATTAGTACAACCAGCCATCTTTACCCTCTGGTGGATGGTAAAGGGGGGGGGGGGGTTCAGGTCGGGGACCACGCATCCACGACCAACCCAGCAACAAACTTTGGTAGAGGTTTTAAGCATCCACCCTTAACCCACCCAATAGGACACTAAATAATAATGATTTGATATTGAAAACAATAAGTTAACTATATGAAGTTATCGAATGCTACTTTTTCTAAAGATATTGATGTATATACTTTGTCATATACTACCTCCGGTCTTTGATAGTGGGGACATAAAAGTGTGCCCACATGGGTCCTTGGGATTCCTATTGCACGGTGTAACTAAGGGCGTGTTTGGGAGTTTAGGGGTGAGGGAAGAGAAAGGCTTTGAGGGGGAGTAGAGAGAGGGGGAGGGGAGGGAGATGGAAAGGAATTCCTTTCTCTTAGTTGGGAGTTACAAATTTGAGAAGGGAGGGGTTTAGGAGGAAATGTGATTAAAATGACACATATACCATTTTTATATTTTTCCTTGAAAAACTACTCCTGTATTTACTTATACAAATCATATTTTTTTAAGTATTACTATTTACTTTCATTCTTGAAAAAAAGGGGATATAGTGTGGAAAATTACTTCATTTTTACTCCTATTTGAGAATTATTTCATCTCTTATAATTATTATATACTCGTATATTATTAACTAATTTATTTGTTTGAAGTATTGATGGAAACAAAACATAAAACACACGCACGTATATTTAATGAAGCTTGACTTTTTTTTATATGCATGCATCAGTAGAGCTTGGGTGTTATATTCAGAGTATAATGATTAATGAAGCTTGATTTTTTTTTTTTAAAATGAAGCTTGAGTTTGTTGTGAAAAGGCATAACAACAAATAAATGTATGAACCGTACGCACTACGCAGCAGATAGGAAGGATTCGGTGGTCATTTAACTTTTAACACTCCCAAAACCTCCCGATTTGGAAGAACTAAAAAAATGAGGTTTTGGGGGGTTTACAAGGATTATGAAATACCTCCAAAGTCTTTCCTTCCATTTTTAAAAACTCCCAAACACACAAAGGATGGTCATTGACCCTCACATCCCTTCCCCTCCCCCTCAAAATCAAACTCACAATCACACCCTAAGGAAATGATAAGAAAAAATAATACTACCTCATACCACAGTCCCATCAGGGGCAGATCCAGAAAAATCATTTATTGGGGGCACTTTTTATGCACATGGATATAGATATAAAAAATATACTACTATGTACGGAGTACTATCTAGGGAGTTAATGAAATTGAAAAAGATTTAGAATTAAATATTTAAACTTTACTGACTTTGTCACTAATTTATGTCAACATTTTTCTTTGTACGCTTTTTAATTAGATGAGCACGTTGTAGTGGAAATTTGCTTAGAAGAGAGAAATAATTTCAAATGGAGAATCGATTCCTTAAAAAAATTAAATAAATTAGATTTAGGTGAAAAAAGAAAGAATGCATATAAAAAATGAAAGAAAGGAGTATCAAAACACTTTAATTTTAAATTCAAGCTGAAATAATGCTATTCTATAACTAAATAAATATATATAAAAACTAAAAATAAATTTAGAAGTAAGTGAGGCAGTAAAAAATCAATGGGGGTATACTAGGTTTTCTAATGGGGGCATTATTTAAAAATCATAGAAATTATAGCTTATAGTGCTTATATGGTTTATATTAAATTGATAAAGTAAGAATAAAGTAAGAATGTTTTAAAACCAAACGAATCTTACCAAATTTGGTATGAGACAATCTTGGTGGGACAGACCGAAAAGGAAAGATGAGACAATTTTAGCGGGACTGATGGAGTAATAATAACAATGATATGAATGGTTGTAATAGTACACCTTAGCTCAAATGGTAACAAGAATAGTTTTTACCTTGCAAGAGAAGGGAGCCATATGCTATAGCAGCTCCAGCATGACCCTTAAAAGAAGTTTAAAGTATTAGTGGCCGATACTCAATTAATGCTTTTTGGCATTAATTTATACATTAACCAGTCCCTCACATGCCACCTACCCCAACTAGTTGCTATTATAGTGGTGACAATCACCAAGTCCCTCATTGGGTTGGTGTCTATTGAACTTGGGTCTAGTATACAAGTGTGAATCTTATCTCTTAAGTTTTTTAGGGTGAGTTAGAGCACATTTAGATGGTATCCAAGCCTGATGTATGGTGTTTGGTGGGTCGCCTATTTGTTTGGGGGCTGGGGCAACTCGTTTTGAGGTCAATTTGGACCCATTTGTCCACCTCACCAGCTGTTCAACCTGACTAGCACCAAGGAAGGTGATAGAGACCCGGGCCAGTTTAATAAACAAGACAAATACTATAGCCAAGTTTATTCTAGAAGAAGAAAGTAGTTAGCTGTTATTTTGTTGAGCTGCTGATAACCACTTACGGTTATAAAGTCTAACTATAAATAGAATAAACGGGGAGGATTGGGGGCAGGCTGATTTTTAGAGACGAATTGTCTTGGCTGGGAAGTAGAGTTTTATCTCTACTTTGGGACTCTGTACATGAACATTTACTTTTCAGTATAATTTTGCTTGATGTTCTTGCATTCTTTCCTCTTGTTTGAGCAGATTCTTGTTAGAATTACTGTTGAAATATTGTGTAGTTCTATCAATTGGTATCAGAGCACGTTGATTCTGTGAATGGTTGGAACGCGTAAAAAGAAAATGGAGGGGCGAATGAACGACATGGAGACGAAGTTTGATACGATGGTTGCGATGATGACCGCGATGCAGGCGGGCATCGCGGATTTGCAGAGCAAGCGACAAGAGCGATCGAGGAGTCGATCGCATCACTCCACTAATTCGCAGCACACTGCTCGCCATCGTCATACGAAGCACAGCGACAATTCTGAAGAATCGGATCATAATTCTGATCATTCAGTATCGCCTAACAATCGCGATCCACACAAATATCACAAGCGCCATCAGCCGGTAGGAAGGAAGATTGACCTACCGATTTTCAATGGGAAAGATGTCTTCGGCTGGTTGGTAAGGATGAACAGGTATTTTCGATTGAACCGAACGGATGAAGGTGATAAGATTGATGTTGCGGTCGTGGCCCTAGAAGATCAAGCTCTAAGCTGGTTCCAATGGTGGGAAGGGCAGGCTCAACAGCAAAACTGGGGTACTTTCACTGATGATTTGTCAAAAAGATTTCAACCAGATATGGTGCAGGCATGGTTTTAAAAGGCGAACAGCACCTACGCCTCAGAGGCGTAAAAGCGCAAAGGCGCTAACAAATCGCCTGTAAGGCTTGAGCATCACCTTCCACTAACAAGGCTAACGCCTTTTTTTTGCTGAGGCGGTGATGCGATCCCAGTGTGCAAGGCGTAATTGAGGCGTACACATTTAACTAAACGCAACTTGGGCTCTTTTTTTTGAACTATTGGGGGCCTCGATTTAAAATTTTTAAAAAAACCTACACGTTTATCTCTTGGTAACACACGATATCCCTAGGTAACTATTTAATTACCTTCCACTACTACGATATTAAGAAACGGCTTGAAAAACTCTCAGTCGAAGGCTTGAAACTGAGTATGTAGACTTTGATCTTTCAGAGTTGCTTTCGTTCCAGTTATTATTAAGTAAATATATTTAAATATCCCAACGACCACTTGTATAAAATATCCCACCAGCCTACTTCTATAGTTTCTTGTTGTATTTATTGTTTAAGTTAATTTGTTTTAACTTTTTAATTATTTAAAAGTTCAGGTTTGAAGTATATAGTCTGCTACGTATTTAATGCTTTTTCAGCCAGCAAACTACAAAATATTCCACCGCCCCACTACTTCTTAGTTGTTATGCACTTATGCTATAAAGTATTATGGTTGTCAACTTGTCATTCAATATTATAATTTTATTAATTTATTACTGTACTATTGGCCTACAGTTTAAACTTTAAAGTGATCATAAAACTATCATTTAGCTTATTTATTTGTCCTGGAATTTTAGTGTTTACGTTGGTTTGAGTTTTGACTTTGGCATTTCAATTTTATATTATTCTGACTTAGATGTTTTATAGTTATGTTATTTTTACTTGATTTTGTTTAGATGGGATATTCTTTTAAACATTTAAGCAATTAATTTTGAGGCTTACGCCTCGTTACGCCTCGAGGCTTACGCCTCGTGAGGCTACGAGCAAACGCCTCGAGGCCCGATTTCGCCTTTCAAAACCTTGGGTGCAGGATCCTTTAGGACCCTTATTCAATCTGAAACAGAAGGGCTCTGTACAGGAATATAGAGATCAGTTTGAGACTGCCATAGCTTCTCAAAGTCACCTGACTGAAGAAGTGTTGAGAGGAATTTTTCTCAAGGGATTGAGAAGAGACATCAAAGCTGAGTTGAAGTTATACTCTGCAAGATCTTTGGCAAAGGTCATGGATGTTGCTATTTTAATCGAGAATAAGAACAATGAATCTTTGTATATCAAGAACAGGGAAGAAGGAAGGAAGAAGGGATTGAGTAAAAACCATCAGATGAATCCAATCCAGAACTGGGGAGATAATAACAGGTGGAGAAGTTATCCCACTAATTCAGCAACTATGAACAAAACACCTGGAGAAAATAGATCCAATTCTGAAGAAAAAAATCAGACCGTGAAGAAAGAAGGCCCTAGATTGTCCAAGAATGAATTACTTGATAGAAGCAGAAGAGGCTTATGTTTTAAATGTGGTGAACAATGGGGGAAAGGACATATTTGCAAGATGAGGAATTACAAGATGATTTTGGTAGAGCAATCAGAAGGAGAAAATGAATCTGAGCAGGAGGATCTGAAGTCAGAAGATGAGGGAGATAATTCAAAACAGTTTAAAACTATGCAGTTATCCATTCTAAGTAAGGAGGGTATTCCTTCAATGAAAACTTTCAGAGTAAAGGGTCTGTTGAAATGGAAAGGAGGAGAAACAACTGTCAATATTCTGATCGATTGTGGTGCTACTCACAATTTCCTATCACAGAAATTAGTGGATCAGTGGAAGATTCCTTATGTTCCTATTCAGGGTTATAAAGTTCAGATAGGGAATGGGAATTACATTCCTAATAAGGGCAGGTGCGATGACATGAACCTGGAGGTTCAAGGCAATGTTATTCAACAAACCTATTACCTGTTGGAGTTAGGGGGTACAGATATGGTTCTGGGAATGGAGTGGCTTACTAAACTGGGTGATATGGAGGTAAACTTTCTGAATCAGGTGATTAAGTGGAATCAGCAAGGACAGAAACATATAATAAAAGGAGAAGCAGCTTTGAACCAACTGGAGGTCCCTTTGAAAACCATGATACACATTCTACAACAAACGGGGGATGGTTACCTAATGCATTATGAAGGGCAGAGGAATACAGGGGAGCAAGGTAGACAAGAAGAAAAAGAATGGGAAGACATTATTGCAGAATTTCCAGAAGTCTTTACAACTCAGCTGCATTTCCCTCCTGAAAGAAGTTGTGATCATGCTATAAATATCAAGGAAGGGGCAACCATACCAAATTTAAGGCCATACAGGTATTCATTTGATCAAATAAATGAAATTGAGAAAGTCATTGGTGAAATGTTAAATGCTGGAATCATTAAACACAGCCACAGCCCCTATAGCAGCCCTATAATTTTGGCCAAAAAGAAGGATGGAAGCTGGATATTTTGCGGGGACTACAGGGCCTTAAATAAGATAACTATACCAGACAAATTCCCAATCCCAGTTATAGAGGAACTGCTCGATGAATTAGGAAATGCCAAGGTTTTTTCTAAGCTGGATCTTAAATCGGGGTACCACCAGATCAGAATGAAGGCTACTGACACTCAAAAGACTGCTTTCAGAACACACGAAGGACACTACGAGTACCTGGTCATGCCTTTTGGGCTTACTAATGCCCCATCTACATTCCAGGCTCTTATGAATGAGGTATTGAGGCCTTTTCTAAGAAGGTTTGCACTTGTGTTTTTTGATGATATCCTAGTTTACAGTGAAACTAGGGAGGATCATAAAGAACATTGAAGGAAGGTTCTTGATGCTCTGAGAAGTAATCAGTTGGTGGCTAACAAGAAAAAATGTACCTTTGGCCAAGAAAAACTGAGCTATCTGGGCCATATTATTTCTGAAAAAGGGGTAGCAGCTGACCCAAGCAAGATTGAGGCAATGAAAAGCTGGAGAAGGCCTAAAAACTTAAAAGAATTGAGGGGATTCTTAGGTTTGACAGGTTACTATAGAAGGTTTGTAAGGAATTACAGTAAAATAGCTGCACCACTCAATAACCTATTAAAGAAGGATGGGTTCAGTTGGGATGAAAATGCTGACAAAACTTTTGATGAGTTGAAGAATGCTATGATGTCCTTACCTGTCCTCAGAATTCCAGATTTCAACAAAACCTTCATCATTGAAACTGATGCTTCTGGTAAAGGGTTAGGAGCTGTCTTAATGCAAGATGGAGGCCCCATAGCTTACATGAGCAAAGCATTATCAACCAAGCAGCTGACTAAATCTGTTTATGAAAAAGAATTAATGGCCATTGTGTTTGCCATTCAAAAATGGAGGCCCTATTTACTTGGAAGACATTTTGAAGTTCACACTGACCAGAGAAGTCTAAAGTATTTAACTGAGCAGAAAATCATGGGAGATGATCAACAAAGATGGGTAGCCAAACTCATGGGCTACAGTTTTTCCATCAAATATAAACCAGGATGTGAGAATAAAGCTGCTAATGCCCTGTCAAGAAAAAATAGTCTGGCAGCATTATCTATAGTACAATGTCTGGAATGGGAGGGTTTAGAAGATGAGATTATGGCAGATCCTGAGTGTTATGAAATCATACAGAAGATATTCAGTGAGCCTGATAGGATATCTGAGTTTAAACTGAAGAAAGGGTTGCTATACTATAAAGGCAGATTGATGATACCTAAGGATTCTCCCAGAATCAAAAAAATCTTGCAGGAATATCATGATTCAGTGACAGGAGGGCATTCGGGGAACTTCAGAACTATGAAAAGGATTTCATCACTTTTTTATTGGAAAGGAATGAGGAAAGATATACAACAATATGTGCAAGTTTGTGATACTTGTCAGAGGAACAAGTATCAGGCACTGAAACCTGCAGGGTTATTACAACCTCTACCCATACCAGAGCAGGTTTGGACTGAAATAAGTATGGATTTTATTGGTGGGTTGCCCAAAAGCCAAGGGAGGGATACTGTATTGGTTGTGGTAGACAGGCTCACCAAATTTGCACACTTTATAGCACTAACCCATCCATACAATGCTAAGAGTGTAGCTGAAGTTTTCATCAAAGAGGTGGTCAAACTCCATGGATTTCCTAGGTCCATAGTGAGTGACAGGGACAGCATATTTTTGAGTTTATTCTGGTCAGAGTTATTCAAGTTGGCTGGTACTCAACTGAAATTTAGTACTGCTTATCACCCTCAGTCTGATGGTCAAACTGAGGTGGTGAATAGGTGTCTAGAGACATACCTAAGATGTCTCACAGGAAAGAAGCCTAGGGATTGGGTTAAATGGCTTCCATGGGCTGAATATTGGTATAATACCAATTATCACATATCCTTGAAATAAACTCCCTATCAGGCTCTATATGGGCAAGAACCACCAGCCATTATCAGAGGTGATGTTACTCTTACTGCAGTAGAGGAAGTGGCAAGGCTAACTGCTGAAAGAAATGGAATGCTGGCTGAATTAAAAGACAATTTAGCAGTGGCTCAAAACAGAATGAAACAACAAGCCAATAAACATAGAAGGGAAGTAAAATTGGAGAAGGGGGATCTAGTCTTTCTGAAAATCCAGCCCTACAAGTTGAAGAGTATAGCCAGGAGAGTGAATCAGAAACTCAGCCCCAGGTTTTATGGACCCTTTGAAATCATTGACAAGTTGAGTGATGTTGTCTTCAAATTAAAGTTACCAGACCACAGTTTGATACATCCGGTGTTCCATATTTCTCTTCTAAAAAAGGCACTATCTCCCAACACTCCCTGTCAACCCCTACCATTGTGCCTGAATGAAAGCTGGGAGTTACAGGTCATACCAGAAAGAGTGGTGGATGTCAGAAAGAAGAATGGCATTGTTGAAGTACTAATACAGTGGAAGGACTTGCCAGAGTTTGAGAGATCTTGGGAAGAAGTGCAGATGATGAAGAAGCAGTTTTCCTACTTCCAGCTTGAGGACAAGCTTGATCTTCAGCAGGGGAGTATTGATAGAGACCCGGGCCAGTTTAATAAACAAGACAAATACTATAGCCAAGTTTATTCTAGAAGAAGAAAGTAGTTAGCTGTTATTTTGTTGAGCTGCTTATAACCACTTACGGTTATAAAGTCTAACTATAAATAGAATAAACGGGGAGGATTGGGGGCAGGCTGATTTTTAGAGACGAATTGTCTTGGCTGGGAAGTAGAGTTTTATCTCTACTTTGGGACTCTGTACATGAACATTTACTTTTCAGTATAATTTTGCTTGATGTTCTTGCATTCTTTCCTCTTGTTTGAGCAGATTCTTGTTAGAATTACTGTTGAAATATTGTGTAGTTCTATCAGAAGGTGTGTCGAGTAACCCACATGTAGCGTATAATGGATTTGAACATAGCATAATAGTTAACATAAATCTCACTCTCTCACCCTTTTAGGATCCTTTTGAGGTGAGTTAGACCCAATTAAATGATGATGACGGCATGAGGGAATGAAAAGTTTTATACCTTTTTCGATGCTCTGTGGAAACACCAAATTGCAGAATCAATGTCTTTTTTTACACAATCTCCAGTCAAATAGACTGCACCTAAAAGGTATAGTGCACCTGAGTGCAACTGATACAAATCTTTGTTAGTAATTAACGAGCAGCTTAATGATGTAATGACGTTATTGGTTTGTAGTTCAAGTATATACCTGATCAGCTGCCTTCTCTAAATAGTAAAACGCTTGCTGATCTGATTGAACAGCCTCATTCTGCAACATGGTTGAAGTTTTCCAGGAATGTCAAAAATATAATATTGCTACATTGATGCAATGTTATGGGGCGGGGGGAACTCTCCGTGATTTGTGATATAAAATGATGTGAATGCCAGTGTTTGGCATTGCGGTAATGCAAAAGACTGCTTTTTATATGAAATAACAAAGACATGTCCACAAAAAACTGTGTTGAGGTGCTATAGTTTCAAAACATCTCCTAGTAGTATTTGTAGTTGTGACATTCAAGCCACACCACTATTTTATTTTACTAAAAGAGCTTTTAAGGGAAAAACGTTTTGTGCCTTAAAAAGTCACAACCATACCAAACTAAGGCTAAAATAAATTAGATGGGTGGCTAGTCTATATCTAGAAGATCGTACTTATGTCGTAAACTTGTACACATTGAAAGACAATTCAATCGTCATCTTTCAAATGAATGTAATCATAATATGGGCGAGAGGCATGCAACCTGAGAACTAGAATGGAGTAGCATAGTGAGCCTCATCTATGCGACTTGAAAAGAACTTAATATTAAATAACAAACGGGCTATAGACAAAACCACAAACGTTATATTATTTACAATCCATGACAAAATAACAAACACTGCCTTAAAGAAACAAAGAAAGCATACCTCAACTCTCAAACAGCGACCTAACTCATACTGAGCATCTGGATCACCCATCTCTGCAGCTTCAACTAACAAAGCAGCACCACTATAATGAGAAAGGAAATTGGAGAACATCAGTTGCAAACTGGATAAAAAAGCTAGATAATACTCCATCTGTCCTATAGAACAGTAATTAATTCTTTCATGTAGTACCCTTTATATAGTCATCATATGGAATCACGGGAAACATGAAAAGAGAGCTAGAAGCATATATTTTATTAATTTGTAGGTAAAAAATAATTACTCCTTTTCCTCATAAAGATGGGCTTGAAGATAATTGCAAGGGGATTCACAAAAAGTTGGAAACTTAGAGTATTGAGTTCACATATGCAATTTCACTTTCACCGTGTTGAAAGTGAACTAATGAATTACTTTTAATAGGAACTCTTGAAATGAAAAATTCAATAGGGGTAAAACTTGGATGGCAAATAAAATGCACGCCTAATAAGTAAAACTGGATTACTTTTGAGAGGCAGAACAAAATGAAATACAAGTTTCAAAATAAGGCTATACAACTAAATAACTTGTGATTGATTTTAAAATGGGGTAATTTAAGTTTGCACCCCATTTTATTGTCCAAATTTGACTTTGCACCCCATTTTTATAAACTTTTGTATTTGCACCCCGACCCCCTGTGAAAAGACAAAAATATGCCCTCCATTAACAATTTTGTTGGCCTTCAAAATATTCCTTATCTAAGGGCATTTTTGTCTTTTCATAAGGGGTTGGGGGTGCAAATACAAAGGTTTTTAAACACGGGGTGCAAAGTCCAATTTAGACAATAAAATGGGGTGCAAACTCAAATTACCCCTTTTAAAACTTAGCTGAATTTTTATAGGCGCGAATTAGATCAAGTGTACATTTAAACAGGACTGGATAAGAATGCTGGAAATGTTTTTACATGCCAATAAACATTCAAATTAGATAGACACATGTTATGCAAGAGAAAAGGCATGTTTACATGGCTTTGCAAGCGCCGGGAACATGGTACTTGAAATGCAACTTTGACAGCCAATATCTAGCTTGTGTATTTGAATTGTCTACCTCCAGAGCTAATTCAAAGCTCTCCTTTGCTTCCTAACACAAACACATCATATATATATATATATATATATATATATATATATATATATTCATTTATTTATTACACGACGCCTAAACACTCCAACAACAAAATGAAATAGCTTGCAGGCTAAAGCTTACACTTAGTAGAGGAATGAGTCGTTTATCTTTGAGCTCACAATAATCAATAACCCTGTCAACTTCCTTCAGAGCGGTCCATCCTTTTGATATAAACTCTACAGCTTTCTTGTTTCTGCTGTGTAGCCCTCTCTGGGAAACGAATATAATTATTCAAATAATGAATTAATTAATATTAATGAAGTTGCATTAGCACAAGAATACACAATAAGGTTCAGTGCATAGGATGAATTTACCCGTGGACAGAAGTGAAATAGATTATAACTGCGGCTTCTAAAAGCAGTCTTTAAGAGATCTGACTTCAGCATTTATTACTGCAATCTAGTAGGAATTACATGAATCAATTCGAGATATCAGGGCGCAAGAAAATATGAAGAGAGGCACGGGAAGAAAGTGCCTGCCTTGAACATCTCCAGGCTAACACTTATTCATCATGGTTAAGTTATAGTTTTCGGATTATTTTTCCACGCATGTCTTTAAAAGTATCTTTCTAGCAGAATGGTTAAAATTTCATCCCCACAAGTGTGTCCAGTTAAAAAAGACAACAAAAGGTGCCACTTGAGCAAAAACACAAACATGTGGTGTGCAGTCCAGGCGAGGTGGAAGATCATAAAAAGTACACATTCAACTATATAAGTTGATACAAAAGCAACACGTCAATAAAAAAATCATTTATATAATTATGTATCCTTCAAGCCCTCCAATTAGAACGGTTCGCCACTAGGAGGTTAGCAACAACAAAACTAACAATTTGAAGTGCTAGGAAAAACATAATACACAGTTTGAAGTGCTAGGAAAAACATAATACACAGTTATCCCAGATTACAACAAATATAACGGTTAATTGAGGCAAGCTATCTTTTTCCATCCTTACAACTGATAGACACAATAGAAGCTAATACTATAAGAAAAGAAGAATGCAAGATGCATACACCATGAGAATGAGCAACCCAAATAGTAAAAAAAACACATATTTTAAAATGAAAATATGGAAACCTGAGGAAAGCGATCTTCTTTCAGCCTTTGAACTGATACTCTGAGACACAATAGATGCTTATACTATAAGAAAAGAAGAATTCAAGATACACATACGCCATGAGAATTAGCATCCCAAATAGTAAAAAACACCTATCTTAAATTGAAAATCTGGAAACCTGAAGGAGTTGAAGGTAGAAGGTATTTAAAAATTAAGGTTACATAGGGAGGACAATCAAGACATTATCAGGACGACAGGACATCAAATTCAATGCAGTCTTAGAATTTCAATACATATGCAACCTTATACTACGTACTTTTGATTGCATGTGCAACAACTTAGATAAATATGGCTTACATTATGCACGTGGAAGTACCAAATTTTTATAAATTCAATGAAATTGGGCAAATATTAAGACAATTGTTTCCGAAATAAAATGATGAAATTAAACATATATTCTTGTTTCTCTTAAATTACACCAAACGGGGAAAATAAATTATAGAAAAATATATTCTCTCAAGAAATCGCACATTGATAATCAATAAAAAAGGAATATAAACAGCCAATGAACTATTACACATATGGAATCTACTAACGGTCTGTTTGGGTAAGGTGAAGTTAAGTAAACCTAGGTTTTAATAAAAATTAGGTGAACCTGAGTGAACCTAGGTGCACATGTAAAATGGCGTTTGGAAAAAAATTAAGTGAACCTAGGTTAATATAATAAATTGTTGTTTGCATGAAGGTGCGCTAACTTATTGATGACCTATATACCCTTCATATGTATAAGTGCGTGAATAATGTTAATGCCTCACACCGTCATTGGTATAACAATAAACCTAATTTAAAGAAGTGACTTTTGCTCCTACAAGTGAATTTAACAAATTTCTTACACTTGCAAGCTCAAACATATAAAATAGGTATAAATATCTATCACACATTAAGTAGGATAAGCCGTGGAAAATGTGCAGCTTGCAAACAACTAAGGAGGAGGTGCCCATCAAATTGCATACTTTTTCCATTTTACCCCTCTAATGATCCTCAAAGATTTTTGTTTACAAAATCTTTGGTACTAGCAACATTGAAATGATGCTCCAGAAAGTGGAAGAGCATGAGCGAGCAGAGGTGGCAGAATCCTTGTACTATGAGGCACATTATCGGATTAAGGATCCAGTTTATGATTGTGCTGAAATAATTACTATTTTATGTGACCAAATATACAATCTTGATGATTTACAAGCATCTTGGCTTCTTTGGGGGAAGCCTGAAGGGGAAGTATAAATAGTGCCAACATGTTAAGATAACTACTGAAGCAAGCTGCCAAATTTTCTCCATCAGATACAAGTGAGGGATCACAAAAAGTAATTATTTACATGGATTAAGACAACATATTAATTGACATTTAAGTACCTAAAAATGGACCTTACTAAAAGTTCTGTTTTAAAATATTCACTAATTGTAGCATTTAAAAATGAACATATGACATTTACACCTTTGGGCACTGATTTTAAAATGATACCAACTGATGTGGTTGCAAATGATGTGGTAGCAAATGAGGACTAGTCAGTAAGTTTTTTTAAGAGGTTTATTTTAAACTGATTAATTCATTAATTCATTAGTTCGACACTAATTTAGACAGAATATTCATTTGGCTATTAGAATTAGCTAGTATTAGTGACATGAAAAAAAAAAAGATGCTAAAAGTGTTATTTCCTACTCAATTATGTACTAATATATGATTGGTTTTATCTGAGAAAATGAGAATAGAAAAGGTTTGATTAATGTTTATGTTTTATTCTTAGGACAAGAGGAGATGACATTATGTATGTTGCTTAACACGGTTGATCCAAAGATTGGAGGAGTCATGATATCATGTCTGTTCCTCAACTTTAGTGAAACCTATTCCTATTTCCAGAATCTGATTTCTATTACAAGTAGAGATATTTTAGTTCAAAACTATGGGGTGTTTGGATCTGATTCTTAAAACTAAACTGCTTCTGCTCCTTCAGGGAGCTGAAGGAGAAGTTGGAGTGTTTGGGTGAAAGTGCAGAAGCGATTCTGGTACTCTAATTTACACCTAGAATCAGTTTTTTAGAAGTTGGGGGAGACCAGCTTCTGAAAACTGGTTTTGATTCTGCTTTTGCTTTTAAAAAGAAGAAGAATCAGTTCCAAACACCCCTATGTTGAAACATTAAAATCTATGTTTTAAATTAAGATGTTGGGTTAAACTTCACATATATTATGGTCAAGTCTTACTCAAACATTTTAACAAACAGCTAGTATGCATCACATATGCATTTGTATATAAAGTACACACATATAATCTCATTCAAGTAAATCAACAATATTGCAGCAAGTTCACATGTAAACCATATGTTAATCTAGAATATTACAGCAAGTATGTACCCCAGTCAAGTAAATCAAAAATATTATTGGAAGTCCATATGTAATTCAAGAAGCACAGCATATGACACTGTCATATGGAAGTCCATATGTAATTCAAGTCCATAGGGTTAAAGATTATTTAAGTAATTTTAATATCTAAAAACAGTGTCATATTTTGAACATTGAAACTCTCAGCATCATATTTTGGTCACTGTTTCATTCAATTGTCATTCACTCATTTCAGGTCAGCGGAAAATCATTATGTGACAGGTTCAGGGAAGAAGAATACAGGAGAAGGAGCGGAAGAGAAAAACCTGACGTCTCAAGCTCCAGTTGATAGAGAAGCTGCTAGCGGCAGATTGAGAAGATGAAGTTGTATGAGAAGATGGCGGTAAATGAAGCTGATGGCGGTAGAAAAGAACGTGTAGATAGAGGTGGGGAACGTGTAGGTTTTAGTTGTAGAAATATAAAGAGAAATGGTTCCAAATAGGACCTTAAGTTTCCCTAAATACTTAAATAGGACCTTTACTTTTTTTATTCCTAAATAAGACCTAATTTTACGATGTTTCCAGAATTGCCCCTAATATCTCATCCCCTAGCAAGCGGCCGCTTTCTCTTATCCTCCCTCTCGTGACAAACTCAACGACATACAGGTGATACATCATGCTTCAGCCAAGCCTTTGCCAACAAAGCACGCAACGGCAGCATCGACAGTCATATGCGTTCCTCCACCTCTCAGCGACAGTCATCTTTCGAAGTTGCCGTTGTACTGGAAGATTAGGGATTGGGCAGAGAACCAGAGGAAGTGCCAGCGCTTGGAGAGAACGACTGTCGCGATGAATTGTTCTGTAGGCAGCAAGGATATGAGCCGATGACGAAGGACGGCGAAGAGTAGGTGCAGGGCGCCGCTGGGGAAACACATCTCTTCATCTTCTCCCTTCATTTTTCTTCACTGCGCACATTTGTTATTTTTTTAGAAGCAGACATGAAGAATTGAGGATGCTGCTTGTTTTTGTGGAGGAAATTGAGGATGCTGCTCTGAAATTTGAAACCTTTTTGTATTTTATTTTATTTTTCAATTTTCTTATCCTTCTTTCCAGATTTATTTTCTATCCCCCACTTTTTTTCCCATCCTCTCTTTTTTCTACTTCGATTTTTCATTCTGTTCACTCGGTCATGCTTAATTTACTCACACTTCATTTAGAAAATTTATTCATACAACCATACTTGATGTAGAGAGTAGTTGTTCCATTTTAATGTATGAATCAATGAGTTTTTCTTTTGCGGTAGAACTGTTTGATGAAATGCCTATATGAAATTGTCCCTGTTTTGCATTCTTTAGTTAAATTGCAAGAGCAGCTTACTTAAACTGCATGAGCAGCTTACTGATTATGTATGTACTCAATTCATCATGTGATTTTATTGTAACATTGACATATTTCTACCTTATAATTATGACAATGTCAAATAATATTGACATTGTATATTGCATTGTTAAAGAATGACATTGTATATTACATTGTCATGTAATGACATTGTATATTACATTATTATAAAATGACATTGTAATATAATATGTTTTCGGTAAAGATATTGTAATAAAAGAACATTGTTAAAAGGTTATTGATGTAATTCTTACAGCAATAACCTTTTAACAATGTTCTTTTATAGCATAGACGTCATTACAACGATCATTGACATTAGCATTGACAATGTCATTATCACAATGTCAATATTTGACATTGTGACAGTTTTACGACATTTTGAAAGTTTTCTGACATTGTCAACTCTCAATGTCACACTTTTAGTTTTATTTTATAACTTCATTTTTATTTCTCATCCACACAATGACATTAATTTTCTAAATAATGATATCATTACATTGTCATACAATGACATTGTATATTACATTGTCGTACAACTACATTGTATATTATATTGTTATATAATGACATTATTATAACACACTGACAAACTTACTTCTCTGTAAAAAAGTTGTCATTTTTATTTGCTTGATATTATAGTATTGTCATTGACATTTTAAGTGTCATTATATGACACTGTGGTTGTCAATTTTATTACAATGTATTAGTTAGTGATATCAAATCACATTGTTAATTAATTTAGTGACATGATAACATCATAATTTTATAAATGTGGAGTGAATATGATATATATCTCAATGACAATGTCATTGACATCGTAATAATGTCATTGTCATTGTTATGTCATTGACATTGTTATGTCATTATCATTGATATTTAACATTTGACAATGTCAGTTTAAAAAACTTAGTGATAGTGTCATTGTGTATAGACCATTTCGAGCACAATGTCAATAACGATGTTAATGTCATTGTCAGCATTATTATCGTTAGCATTATTATCAGTATTACATGGTTAATTGAAAATTTTCAGGAATGTGAAGATGTCTGCATGGAAATATGGAATCATTGTCTATGTCATTCTTATCTGTTACGAGTATAAATCTAATACAAAAATCATAATATCATATATTAATATCCTTATCAACATAATCATTTCTTCCTTTCAATGCAAATAAAGTGGTCTACTTTTGGCTACTCATTCATACAAATCATTCATACTCCATATTTATTTAATCAAAATACTCAACTTTAACTAAAACTACTCCTTCCCATTCGTAAAAATACCTCTAGCTTGGATTTTGAGGGATTCGTCTTCTCAGGGTGGAGGAGATGCGGTGAAGCTCTGTTTTCTATTTGTTTACATGTTGCAGAAGCAGTAGGGGGAAGAAACGTACGGCGGCAGCGGTGAGGTACGGCCCATATGACGGCCGCTGTGAGGTACGGCCATTACAGCGACAGTGGCAGGGTGCAGAGGTAGGCGGCAGTAGGGTCTAGGTACGACGGTGGAGACGAGGTGCGGTGGTAGCAGGGGTAAGTACGACGGCGGCGATGATGTGGTGTGGCGGTGGCGGTAGAGGATTGGGGGTGATTGGGTGAAGATTCTGGATGGGGTTTTAAAATGGTGAGCTGCACCTAGATGTGATTCTATTCTCCTCTGTAACTAAGGGAGTGTTTGCGATTGCTTCAATTTTAAAAAAGTGATCTTTTAAAGTGATTTTGAGAAAAGTGATTAATAATAAAAGTTGGTAGTGTTTGAGAAAAAAGTGATTCTGAAAAAAGTAAAAGTTGGTAGTGTTTGGTAAAATAAGTACTTTTTGTGTAATAGAAAAAGTGAGAAGCAGTTTAAAGCACCCTTCTACCTGCTTCCAGCTTTTAGCTTTTAAGTGATTAATTTAAGCAGAAGCTGTCATTTGAAAACACTCTTTTCAACTTTTTTTAAGCAAAAAGCTGAAAAGCGCTTTTTTTAAGCAATCCCAAACACTCTTTAAGAGGAGAAGCAGCGTGCCCGGAAGATTTTTTAATGAAAGGGTAAATTTGTCATCAACACAATTTTTAGTCCTATTTAGGTTTAAAAATCTCGCTGGTCCTATTTAGGTGCAATGACTTTGTTTTGGTCTTATTGAGTTCTATTTCCCAAATATAAACAAACAAGGTTAATTAAAAATTAAATCTGAAATATTCAAAAAAAATTAAACCTGAAATATTTTAGATTAACATCCAAACAAAATAGAGCATAAGTGGTTAGACCTTATTGGTCCTATTTAAACTTGGAAGAGTTTTAATACTTTGTACTCTATTGCTTAGGGGTGGGTCGGAGAAACCGGAAACCGAATCGAAAAAACTCGAACCGTAACCAAAGCAACCGAACCGTAAGAAAACCGAAACCGAACTAAAAAAACCGAACCAAACCGTAGTCGTTTGGTTTTGGTTTTCACATCTCAAAATCGAACCGAACCGAATTTTTAAAAACTAGTTATTTTATTTATTAATCATTAAGTATAATATTTTGTTTGTTTCTTAGTTCTTAATTGTAGAAAATTTGTGTTTGATACTAGATTTATTATGATTCGCAAGATATTGAATTTAATATTTATGGTTTAATTAAGTGAAACACTTGTACATACACTTAACTCTATTGCTATAATACTGATATTTTAAACCGTAATATACATTTTGCTTTGACAATGATATTTTGTTAATATATTATATGTTATGTATATATGTTTGATCACATATTTTTATATTGAACAAATATGTATTAATATAAACTATACTTTAAACAACAAAGCAGAAAACGTGAAACATTAAATCATAAATATCTTTTTCTAAGAAGAAAGCAGAATAAGTTATTTAATAATGAAATTATAACTTACGAATACATTTTGTATAATTCACAAATAAACTCACACATTTGTTTTCTCTCTTTTTTTTTAATTATGTACGATTTTGTATTGTATAACTATTAATACTAGTTTGATATAGTTTTTTGTTTTGTTTTTGTTTTCCAATTACTAATTTTCTAATCAACAAGAGTATTTTGGTAAAAACCGAAAAAATCGAAACCGAACCGAAAGAAACCGAACCGAACAAACCGTGGTTCCAAAATTTTTAACATAAAACCGAACCGAACTTTTTACTTTGATTCTACATTTGGTTTTAGGTGAAAACCGAACCATTTGAACCAAACCCACCCCTAATATTATTTGCACGGTCTCACAAGACACAAGAAAAAAAAAGGATGACACTCATCCCTGAGCACCCCCCCCCCCCAACACCGACCGGACGACACGATGGGAGAATGTAAATTGGTCTATAATCACAATCTGACAGATAGAGAGTGAGACTCCGTCCCCGGTACTTGCAGAGGCCATCTATTAAGTAACCTCTCATCGTAGTTGTCGGGAGTTGAACCCGGAACCTAACTCTTGTGGCAGTCCCTCGCTACCAGTTGAGCTACGCCCACCAGTAAATTTGTCTTTCACAAGACACAAGAAGATATGAAGGGAAGCGATGTGTGTGAAGTATGTTGGCGCTGGTGTTCCCTCTGAGGCAGACGATTCTGTTAAAAACTAAATACTTTGAAACAAAAAAAGACGGGGAAGTGAGGTCACCCCGTTAGGTCGTACTAACGGAAGAATGAGAGTACAACGCCTTAAAAGGAGGTACATCTTGATTAAACACTAACTAGTACTTCTCCATTCTCAAAATAAACATCACACTTTCCATTTCGGACCGTCCCTAAAAAATTCTTTTGCTATTTTTGATCACCAAAACAATGCAGAACAATGTCGTTTTCTTAAATTATGTGTAAAACAAAGTGACAATTTTAAATATGGACGGAGAAAGTATTGAACAATGTTGTTTAGGAAGATGTGTTTCGAAAAGTGTAGCAAGATGTGTTTCAAATGTGTAGTTGCTGAATTCTTATTGTAATATTATTATTTATTTTTTTGAAAAAAATGTACTACGTAATATTTATTTATTCCCCCTTATTTCCAAAGCATACTCCATGTCACACATTAATAATGAGTCAAACTTATTTTTCCTTGATCAAACTTTTTTTATATTACATCTATACAATCATTTAAACATTAACTAATAAAGTTAACAACTGATATACTATTGTTATTACTTAATCTATGTTCATGCATAATAGTTGTAACTTGTAAGTAAGTTGGAAATTAGAGCATTAAGTTCATATATGCAATATCACTTTCACCGCGTGTTGAAAGTGAAATAATGAATCACTCATGTATAAGAGTTCTCGAAATAATTATAAAAAAAAAAATCTTGAAATGGAAAATTCAAATTCAATCAATAGGGGTAAACTTGGATGGCAAATAAAATGCACTCCTAAAAAGGAAAACTGAATTGTTTAAAATGATTTTGGAAAAAGTGTTTACTAGTAAAAGTTGGTAATGTTTGAGAAAAAATTGATTTTGAAAAGTAAAAGTTGATAGTGTTTGATAAAATGTGTTCTTTTTGTGTAATAGATATAATAAAAAACGAATTATAGCTTTTAGTTTTTAAGTGTTTAATTTAAGCTCGAGCAAAAAAAAGTGTTTAATTTAAGCATAACTTTTCACTTGAAAATATTCTTTTTAGCTTTTCTAAGTCAAAAGTCGAGAAACACTTTTTAAGCATTTGCAAACAATGCATTCATAATACACCGATGGCTAATACATACGTTCACATTAAAGGAGTGTCATACATTGCCCCAAGAAAAGCTGAAATGAATGTTTTCAAATGACAATTCTGCTTAAAATAAGCACTTTAATAATATGTTTGTCACAACTAGCTAAAAAGATACTTTTACGAACTTTTTAGTACTTGTTAGCTTTTAGTGACTGAAAAGATCTTAAAAAAGAAAATGTGATAGCTGTTTGGTAAAAAGCTGATTATTTGATTTAGTTCGGTTTGGTATACAAGCTGTTAAAACTAATTAATACTAAAAGTCACGAGCTTTTCTCAGATGCTACACCCGGTAGCATCTCAAAAAAGATCTTTTAATTTTTGAAAAACTCTTAAAAATGTCATGCCAAACATACAACTAGAGTCTTTTAAGGTCTTTTTAAAGAATAAAAAAAGTTAGAAACTAGAGCCTTTTGTGTGCCAAACATAGCCTAAAGGTCTTTGTAAGAGCTTAAAAAACGTTCTTTGGCTTTAGCTCAAAAAAACTAAAATTAGTGTTTTCAAATGAAAACTTTCATTTAAAAACATTTATCGACTTTTGGCTGAAAACGGTTTTTTTTTCTTTTTCTATTACACAAAAAACACATATTTTATCAAACACTGCCAACGTTTATTTTTTAAAATAACTTTTTTCTCAAACATTATCAATTTTTACTATTAATTATTTTTTTCTAAAATCACTTCAAAAAGTGTTTTCTAAGCAAAAACATCTGCAAACACTCCCCAGTCTCTTGCAAAAACACTCTTAATGTTTGGGAGTTTGGAAGGAAGGGTAGGGGAAGACTTTGAAGGGTTGTTGTAGCAGGGGAAATGGAGTAGAAAGTGAGGAAACTCTTCTTCCTATTTGGAAGTAATAAATTTGAAAGAAGGGAATCTTTGAAGGAATTATAATTAAAATCACTTTGAGATATGACAAATTCGAATAATTTAATCGATATTCATTTTAAATTAAGCTTAAATTATCATTTCATTAATTACCTATCTTAATCCTCCAAATCTGAAAACTTAAAAATTGAGCATGAAGAAAACTTTAGAGAATGAAAAGCCCTCCAAAATCATTTATCCAGAATTCCAAACTCTAATGCAAAAGGAGTGGATGCAAATACTTTTGCTAAACAATTGCTGAGTAGAATTTAGAAGGATAACCCAAACTACCCTTCAATTACGCAATCCTGCAATCTGCAAATCCGCCATTTTAGACCAACGAGCAAGAACCACTCTCTTCCTCTTTCTATTTTTTTTTCTTTTATATGTTATACCCAGTATTTATTTAGAGAGAGATTTTTAGCAAAAACCACTCTCATAGAGAGAGATTTTTTTTATATATTTATACCCAGTATTTAGCTTTAGGCTTCCTGGAATAGAAATTTTGCTGGAAAGCGATACAGCTTTTCATAGCTATTCGCCACATATAATGTCACCTCTGGAATGCCCAGTATTCACGGTGTCCAATTTGGGCACCCACCTTGCCGTGCCTATTTCTCCCGACGCGACGGCCAGGGACTTCAAGAGTGCGTGCTTACTCTTACTCCTCCATATTATTCTTCTCAATGCCTTTAATCTTTCTTTTTTGGTATGTATGCCCGCATATATGCTGTTTTCTGCCAAGAAGTATAATCTATGCTCTAAAGTTCATACCTTTATTCGCATATTTCAGCATTCGTTGCCGTTTATTTTGAGGGCTCTTCTCTTTGTTTCCAAAATTCCAAGTTTGTAATTCCGGGAACTTTAGTCTTATGATGAATGCCATTGTGGGAAACGTGACTTATACTTCCATTCGTCGAGATAAGTAGTCCAATGTTGAGATGGCTTAACACATGTCTGATTTTTTTTTTCTTTTGGGAGCAGAACAATATTTAAAAGGCATGTACTAGTTTTCAGGCTTACCATGTCCGAGTTGCTCTTTTGAATTTAGTTGGTTCTAATGTCATTTTACTTTGGGTTCAATCTTAAAAGATAAGAAGTGGTTCAATGCCTTATATATATGTGTGTGTGTGTGTGTTGTAAACTTTTAATATTTGACTCATGTGAATTGACTTAGCATTATAAGCTTCTGGTATCAAGGCTATTAATCTCTTCAGAAACCTTCCCAATGTGCAATGCATGTTTGCTGGACAACTAGATGAATTAAAAGAACAGCCTATTCTTTTTCTAGAATCAATTTGGTTTCTAGACATATGATGCTAAGAAGACAAGTTAACTTATTAAGAAGTACATTGCAGCTCAAATGTTCTGTGAACTGTGATTTATGTTTATAAAGGTTTAATGAGCGTGTACTTGTGTTTTTGTAGGAGTATTTGAGAGAGCACACTTGCATTGCTTCCCAGAACATGGAGAAATTGTGGCAAGTAGTGTAATGGTATGTTTGAAGTTCTGAACTGCTTTGTTAGCTGTCTTTAGAAGATTAATACTAAAATTACCATATTGAAAGTCAATTTCATAATTACCCCCTTTCCCCGTCATATTTGCATTAATATTTTTATATATCAGCTAAAACTTACAATGAGCATTCATCATCATCATTTGCACCTTAATCCTAATTAGTTGGGGCCTGTTCTATGGTTTTACTTAATTGTGTAAAGTATAATTCATGCAACGACTCCAATGAGAAATATTGTGACAATGTTTATTCTGCTTGATGCCCCTCTTGTTGGGAACCTCTTAAGAAGGAATGATTGCAATGAGTTCTCAACTTTTAATGTTCATTGTTTTTATAGTAAATTTCATAATTGCAACACTGTTTGCCTTGAACACGCTGTTCATCACTATTAAGTATTAAGACTTTGGGTTGCATTCTGAAATGCCAACTTCATATGAGGGCTAGTTAATGCCTTATATGCTTGTTTATTATTCCATATTTAGCCAAGTGGTAGACTCTTCAACACCTTTTCATAGAGGCTCACATCATCGTTATGCATTATGTGGTCTCTAATACTATACTAAGATTTCAAATTTCATAGGAAAGGCAGTAAATCAATGTTGTTGGCTTGTTATTTACTCCCTCCGTCCCATTTTACTTTACTTTCCTTTTTGGGTTGTCCCAAAATAAGTGTCACCTCTCCCTTTTTGGAAGGAAATATGTGGTTCACAACATTTCACTTTATTATACTCAAATCTCAACCACAACTTTTACCTTTTCAATCACTTTATTAAAAATTGTGCAAAACCAAAGGAGACACATAAAATGGGACGGAGGTAGTAATATTTATCCGATGTGGGACAAACTCTTCAACAATTACACTTACATGTAAATGATGTAGCACTAATGCTATTATGCTAACAAGGTCATCAAGCTATGTGATTATTTTTTTGAAACTTAATGCTGCTTTGAATTTGTACGTTTGTATGTGTGGGTTTGTAACAGGTCCAGAGAAAGGCAAAACTTTACCACTTGTCTGATACCCTACCCATAAAGCATGTTTTCCAGTACTTGAAGGGTAACTGGTTTCTTCATGTTAGAGTATATCATTCTAGCATTGCTGACCCGATAGGATTACCTGAAGGTATAAAGGATCGTTCAAATGATGGTGAACCTGAGAATTTTCATACAAGCACTACTTCAAAGATTAGGTCGAGTTGCCGGAAGAGTAGGGGGATCGGCATGAAAAGGTTTACCAGCATTAGGTGGCCACCTTTAGGCATTCGAAGAAGGCATTTCTTTCTTAGGAGGCTAAATAGTAAGAGGAAAAGGGTTGGTAATAATTGCGGTGACAGATTTGGTATCGGTGTGTCGTCGGAAGCTAAAGACAGGCCAAGTAAAGTGAGGAATTCTTTTACAGCATTGGAGAGCCATTATGAGGCATTATCATCTGAAACCATGTCAGTCTCGGGTATTATGAAGAAATATTTATCCTATAATGATTATTTATCTAGTTACCATGGGGAGGTGAACTCAAGTTCAGCGCTTTCATATTCACCTCCAGAAATGCTAGATCTTCCTCTGACAAATGAATCGGTTCCAGTAGTCTCAAGTAGTAAGGTCAAGAGTGCTGAAGTCGGGAAGCGCCTTTTGACTGCTGGTAAGAATCTTGGGTTTAATGCCAGTAGCCCAAGTATTGGACTTCGTTTTATTACAAACTTATCGGTATATGATATCCCTGCTGAGGATGGCTGAAGGTAGCAGACTAGCAGTGCATGGCATGGCTACCGTTTGGTGCAGATTCCAGTAGGCTATCTCAGTGTAGTCGCAGCACGTATGTAGCATGGAAACTTTTGGGAAAAAGTACGTTTCCGTTTCGTAAACTCTACGGAAACTCTCTAAACAAGCATTTTTTGAGCAAAAGTTGACGTTTCCGGCTTCCTCATGATTTTTGCGTTTCCGTGCAACATAGAGTCGCACTAGATTCTTAACTAAATTTGCCTTAGCTAACCTAATTTGTAATTTCCCGTATTCTGACAATTATAATGTTGTGTACTGTAAAAACAAACTTAAAATATAAATATAGTTATCATATAGTGGTGATGTATTATTTTTCTTGTATATACAAAGTGGCCGTTTGTTCACCTTATTTTTAGGGTGAGAATTGGTTTACCATACATTAGTTGATTATCTCAGCATGTTGAATCCCTGAATACTCATTTAATCAATTAATCCACTCCTCAAAGCCCATGTGTTCCACATGTGAGTCCAACCACACTATATTTGTCAAGTTTAATTATAAAAAGAAATAAAGAATTAAATACGTAGTATTAGTCAAACCAAAATTTGAAACTATGAGACTATCTCACAAAAACTTTGGTTCTACATAAATAAAAGTATTTTTGAACATAACATAAAAGTATTTTTGAACAATTTATTTTATTACTTCTTATTATAGAAATAATGATGTAATAATGAGGATGCTTTTACTTGGACTAGAATTTTGTGGTTTTCTCTAGTCTGATCTGAACTGGTTTGGTCTGGTAAATAGGCTTGAGACTGATTCAGTTCTTACTCAAAATTGATGGAATCGTTATAAAAATTTTAACTAATGAAATCGGTTCGGTTCTTATGTAAAATATCAAGAACCGTTGTGGAACCGAACCAATACTAAACAGTTCGGTTCTTGCTTTTATCGGTTCGTTGAATAATTTTTTTCTCATCTAGTGAATTAGCACATTATTTGTTTATTTGTTTTCTACCACATAAATATGTAAAAAAAAAATCAAAACACAAGTACTAAAATTTTATTTAAAGTTCTAATAACTTGAAACATCAAAGCTCAAACTTAACTAAGTAAACACTTAATAGAATAAAAGAATATTTCTAGTAGAACATAAAAATCTTTGTTATGTGGTAACAATGAAGGTCGGTCATCATCACAGTAGGAAGATAGGACATCCACTTCGAGTCTTTCAAAATTTAAACAATACATTGAGTTTGCGTGTATAGAAATAAAAGCATCATTATAGTGTGTTTGCTAGTAAAGTAAAATATATGCAATCAACTACAAGTTATTTGAGTCATTTTATATTTTAAATTTTATGGGATGTAACAAAACTTGATTTGTAAAAATGAGCTTAACGCATTCAATCTCATGTGCAATATTGATTACTTTGTTTTTGTTTTCGTTGGTTAAATTATAATAGTTGGCTAAATACCATTGATTGTACTACTATTGTTATTGTTGATATTATTGCTATTACTATCACTACTACAATTACAATTTTTATTTTTATTTTTACTAACGGTTCCTTAACGGTTCCATGCACATATTTTTAATAGGAATCAAGAACCGAACCGTTAGTAACAACTAGAAACCGAACTGAACCGGGTTATAACGGTTTGGTTCCAACCGGTTCTACGGTTCCCGGTTCCTAAATCCCACATCTACTGGTAAATGTCTGGTCTCTGTATATTTTATAACTGTTCAAGTCTGGTATGGTCTATTCTGGGACCAAAAACAGTCTAAGTAAAAACATCTTGATTGTGTAATATTGAACTTCAATAACTGCAGTAGTCAAAATTAAACAAGTCACCATTTCAACCCATTTTAACAGCTATTGTTTCGATTCAATTTTGAACTGTATGCACTGTATGTCTGTATATATTACCAAAACGTATGCACATTACATTTTTATGGAAAATTACATTTGTATACAACATTAGTATACAAATTGTACATCCCCTAGTTGTCTGTATACATAGACAATTTGTTTAAAAAAACTGCCAATTGTCCGTATGCTCAGATCATGTACAATTTGTATATAGATTTTTGGGTATAAGAGGAATTATTAACTGAAGATAAGACTGTTTTTAAATGCGTTCGAAGTTTTTTTTCAGTTGGATTCCGTTCGTTTTGATACAAAAACGTACTGTATCAAACAATACTTGACTGAAAATACGAAGACCGTATTTGAAACCTAATAGTAGGTGACGGTTTAGATATTTTACCTGTCCCAAGATGCTCACCCCTGATTTAAAAACTAACTTTTCTTGGTGAATAATTGGTGCGCAGTTCAACAATACGAACGCGTCCAATTTGTTGTCTGAATCATTTGAACTTTTTGTGCTGAGAAAGTTTCAAATGGGCGAAGCAGCTGAGATCTGGAACGCCACAGAATTGGCTGATGGAGCTATCGACGGCGGGACCTCCGGTATTCCGACGTCGCATTTTGCCGTCGATCACTCTCTTCCTATCCCCGTGATGAAGCCTCGTCTCGTGTAAGACCTCTCTCTCTCTCTGCACGCCTTACATGAGTCTCTACAATGGAATAAATGTAAAATCTGCATCCGCAGAAATATCAAATATGGATGGTTCATGGTTACGCTTACATGACAGTGTAACGTTGAATGAATTGGGGATATTTCTTCGTGCAATACTGCACATAGAAATGATTTCTTCAGTGTAACGGGAAATTAATTGAACGCGTTCATTCTTATTGTTTGATTTGAAATAGATATAAGCACCAGTGCTGCCATTAGCTATATTCGAACACTGTTTTGAATTTTCGCCTCGTAGTCAGTCTGTAATCAAACAAAATTGGCACCACAAAATGTTGTTTGTTCAACCAGCCTGAAAATGTCAATGTAATCGGTGCGGTTGTGTTGTGCTTTCAAGTTTCAACTAAGACATCGGAAAGTGATACTATCACGAACTTCATTTGTTGTTTTTTGCAAAGGTAAGGGAATTGGAATGTGATACTACGTATATTGGATTTATATCTGGTGACTATGTCAGCTTCCTTATAAGAAGCTATAAAGTTTTATTATGAAGAAGCTATCAACATTTTTAAAGTTTCATTTTCATGGAATTGTATGTTAATCTTATCATTCAAACTACAAAATCAGTGCATTTGTGATACGCCACATTTAGAAGTGTGTAGTGCGACTCCAATTTGCTTATATCAGGACAGTTAATACTGAGTATTTTTTCACTTGTTCAGCAAAATGCCTAGCACATTTATGGTTCAAGTATCTTACTCAGATAATTTATAGCTCATTTTGCCATATTATTTAAATTTTACAGAGAGCTCTGCAAGGATCTCTTCAAAAACTGGTCAAAGTTGGATGAATCTCATTTCTCTGTTGAAACTGTATCTGGTGGCATCACAAATCTGTGTGTGTATCAGTCTTTTATAGTTTTACTAGCCTCTTGTTGACAGTTTAGCCGTTTCCCCTGTTCTTCTAAAAAGACTGATATTCCACTTCGGACCATCCCCGTCCATTCAATTTTTAACATCTACAGTACTGAAAGTATCTGTAAGAGAAGACAACGGGAACACGGTGAATATGACATTAAGATTATATGGCCCAGACACAGAGTATGTTATTGATCGTGAGCGAGAACTCCGGGTGAGTTTCAGATGCCTTTGCTGCATACATTAGTATGCATTCTACACATTGTTTCTAGTAATATTTCAACTGAGGTAATGAAACTGTCAATATGCATTCTAAACACCAATAAGTATGTTTATGCATAAATTGATAAGGTATCGCTGTTCACTGTTGTAATGGTCTTCTTCCAGAAAGAAGTTTCTTCTACTTCATCCCCAACTTTAGGATCTATACTCGGAAAAGGCTAGACAAAAAGTAGGACAGAAAGTACAGAAGGAGTTGGAAGTAAAGAAATGTTTGGGAAAATAATTATTGGTTAAAACTCTACAAATTTATTTTTCACCTTTTTTCACACCAGTTTTATTTATATATTCTTCCCTCCCTCCCTTCCTTGTATTATCTAAAAAACAAAGAAATCTAAAAGTGTTAAAAAATTCGAAAAACATAAATCATATGGAGTATTTAATTATCGTTTGCATTTTCTGAGGTAAAACCAAACACAAGAAAGAAACTTTCGTTAGCAAATAGCAATTTTATTCCATAGGATTTTCCATGGATCTAAACATACTCTTAGTGTTCTATACTTCTGTTTACATTTTCACAACAGTTCTAGGCTTTTAGATATTCAACAAATTCAAAGCAAACACACCTTCAAAGTGTTCAGTTTAGCGTTCCTTGTATTTTAATAGTAGTTCTTGCCAACCATAACAAATGGACTTGTAATAATGCTACCAGCCTACCATTACTTCCTATTGTGTGGGAGCTAACAGAGCTTTGGCACTTGCCACTCCCATATCCTTTTATTTACCTCCGGTTAAGCTTGTTGTCTATGCTCTATGTTCCTAGATATTGTTTCTACATTTACTGAAGCAGGATAATGCTTATAGATGTATGTTGAGTTGATTCTGTGTCTAATTACCGGCTGCTCATGTTATACGTTGGGTTTAGGCCATTCAATACCTCTCAGCTGCAGGGTTCGGTGCCAAATTGCTCGGAGTGTTTAAAAATGGCATGGTCCAATCATTTCTTCATGCTCGCACCCTAGCACCCTCAGGTAGGCAAATAATATGTGCAACACATGTCCACAATGTCAATGATTGTTTTTTAAACGAAGATGTACGTCTAAATTCTTGTTTATGTTGCTGATTTATTTCATATTAATATATTATCAATCCCCACCAATCATAGGTTTCTTGTTTTCATTTAACTTAAAAAATTAAAAATGTCTGCGTTCCCCCGTTTGAAATGCAGACTCTAATCTCATTTTTCACTCTCATACTATGAAACTAGACTGTAGTAGACCCTAATTCATGTCTGGGATGGCTGCTTGAAAGTGAAGGCTTGACTAACCAAAGAAAAATAAACTTATGTCACTTGATGAATGCAGGCTAGATTCATTTGAGTACTGCATAGCAGGTAAAAATTTAAAGGCTCTGTTTGTTTACAAGAAACCGAGTTTAGTTCCCGTTCTCAATCCATCTACAAGACAAGCTTGAAGCATTCTTAATTGTTCTAGGTCTAGGAACATTCTCCAGTTAAAAATAGTTAGTTACTAAAATCAGATTTTTAGTTAATAAATAATTGTCTGGAATGTTCTGTTTTTCAAATTTTCTGTGTGTTTGCAGTGGATGAATGATCTTTTTCTCAAATCTTCATACTTTTCTACATAATGTCCTCTTTTTATGTTTTCCTTAAGAGTTTTATAAGTTTCCTATATTTGTGGTTCCAAGATTATATCATACTATTCACATACTTTCCCCATTATTTTATATCATACTTTTATTAATGTATTAAAATATTATATTTTAAAAAATATTTTAAAGTTGGTCTCGAAGTGAAGTTTCAAAACATGATTGTTATAATTTTACTAATAGCCAAGTAAATATATTAATGGTTAGACTCGTGTGTCGGCAAACGCGAAATTCAATATGTTGCAACTAAATAAGAACAAAGGTAGTACTTAGAACATATTTTCCATAAGATGTTTTCCTTGAGGGAGAGTTCCCGAAATAGGAGTAAAGAGGTTTTGGAATTCCATAATAGGACTGCTATGTTTTTCTTCTCGAAATAGGAGTAACATGATAGTCCATCCGGATTCATTACTGCTAAAATAGTTGCATTACTAGGCATTAACATGACATTATTTACTGTCATTGACAATATTTTGCAATCATGACAGTAATGACTTCTATTCTGCTAAGAAAAACATAGTAGTCATATATCGGAATTCCAAAACCCGTTTACTCCTATTTAGGGCAATTTCCCTTTCCTTGAACCAAACATAACCTAAGTATTGAATATTTTGCAGACATGAGAAAACCCAAGGTGGCAGCTGAAATTGCAAAACAGCTCCATGAATTCCACCAGGTGGAAATTCCAGGTTCGAAGGAACCCCAACTTTGGAATGACATATTAAAGTTCTATAATAAAGGTACTCTCTTTCAATTATGCCACTTATGCGGTGTTACCCTTGAAATAATTACATTGTCTAGTCTACATGCTACTGTTGTCCATCTGTTTCTTATGTTTTTTTGTAATTACTTTACCTACAGCATCTACTCTTGAGTTTGATGATAGTGAGAAGCAGAGGAAGTATTCAGCAGTTTCATTTGGAGAAGTGCAACGTGAAGTAACTGAGCTCAAGGTAGTTGACCTTCTCAAATTTTGATTATCGGTTGGTATTCCTAATTCAATTTAGAACCTGTCCCGAATGACCTAAAAGTGGCTGAATCAGGTGAAATTGTTGATGTGGCTAAGTTGGCTGATAATATCTAATAATATAATATCTAAAGAAGATGAAAGCAACAATTTCAGGCAAAAAAGTAAGTCATGCACTACTTATTTTCATTATTAATTGATTCAGCAAACACAATTACAATTGTTAGTTTTGGTGAATAAACTAACCTTTAGATTCATAAGTCAAAACTCAAGCTTACCAATCTGGATCTAAGTTCACCTTGCACAGCAGGCAGTTTGGTGTCATTATAAGAATCTTATAGTGAAGCGGCAGTTTGGTTCTTTGATAATGTAGTTATAGTGAAGCGGCTCCATTACATTTAGGCTAATGTAGTTATATATGAATATGTGCATCTTGTTTTATGGGTAGCTGAATATTATTTCATTTATGGAACAGGAATTGACAGGGCACCTTAATGCTCCTGTGGTGTTTGCTCATAATGATTTACTCTGTGGAAACCTGATGCTAAATGATGATGAAGGTACTGCTTTTGCCATGACTATGCCTTCAAGTGTGTTTGGGAGGTGGTTTACTTTTTTCATTCCTCCTCTCCAAAATCCCCCCTCTCAGACATACCCTTAGAAAACTGTGGTAATTGCAATTCTATTTAAAATGACTTTCTTAAGAATTAATGGAAAATAGCCAGAATGAGTTTATAAATTCAGAACTTGAGTTTTGTGTGAAGTTTAATGCGGTTCACTTTTTTTGGGACAAAAGCATACATTATCCTTTCACTAGTTTTTGCAAGCTATTCTAGGCTTCTAGCCTTTATACTAACCTCATTCTTCTTGGTAAAATCCAGGAAAACTATATTTCATTGATTTTGAATATGGATCCTATAACTATAGGGGTTTTGACATTGGGAATCACTTCAATGAATACGCTGGCTATGAATGTGACTACACCCTGTATGTTGCTTTCATCCCTATCTTCTCTTGAAAGATTTATTTTTTATATTCTATATAACTGCAGAATGTTGTATTTGAACATTTTATCTTCTGCAGGTACCCATCTAAGAATGAGCAATTTCACTTTTTCCGCCACTACTTAAATGCCCAACAACCAAATGAGGTTAGTTCACAATTCATCTAAATGTCCCCGCCATTTGATCCTATCAAAGTTTTTGTTGGATTCACTGTCAATGTGCAATCCCACACATACTCTGTTTTTTAATCATACCTTATCTTTTTTATCTTTCTTATCTTTCTTTTCGTTTTGGCTTCGATATCATGTATCAATTCATGTTAGCCGACCCCAAAATCTTTTGGGACTAAGGCTTGTATGTTGTTGTTGTAGACCAATTTTTACAGTTTTACACCCCGGTTGCTTCCTATTCACATCAGTGATAGGGGATTGGGTCTAAATTACACATCACCCACATCACCCACATGGTTCCTCACTATAACGTCTCACACAAACTCTCTGTCTCTCTAACACACACAATGAGTGTCTCATTGTGTGTCTCATTGTGTGTGAGGAATTTAAAATCTTGTATTTATTTTCCATTCATTAAGGGCATATGGAGAAAAATATAAGTAGCCAATCCTCACCCGAGTAAAATGTTAGGGCCATATTAGCACCGAAAAAATCTTTGAAGGCCCACCATGTTAAGGGCATATTTGATTATATTCCTAATATCCTATAATGCCAATTACATAGGCATTGCTTCGTAAAGTATTTGCTTCCTGTTCTAATTTTCACTTTTCTGGAAACAGAAATATGAAGACACTGAAATAGTGCCTGTCTTCAATTTCTGAAAACAAAAGAACATGGTTCTGTAAAGTACTGGAGATAAGCAAAAACAAAAACCATAAAACCAGAAACATTATCAATGAAAGGGCCGTTTCAGTTAATCTCCAAAATTTTGGTAATGCGAGGTAACCTTGTGTTGTTTGGGCTTTGGTGTTATCAGAGTTAATATTATATTACCCCCACGTAGAAAAATGAGTATGTGGATTACCTTTAGTTTCTTGGTAACATTTAAACCCTATTCCGATTTTTATCGTAACAATTTAGGCAACATTAGGCAAGAAATGCCATTGATATTTCCTCCCAAATGACAGGTATCGGAAAAGGATCTTGAAGCACTATATGTTGAGACCAACACATACATGTTGGCGTCACATTTGTATTGGGCTCTGTGGGCTCTAATCCAGGTAAGTTATACTCGTATACATAAAGGCTCTAAATCCTTCCTATTGGTAGTGTTTGTGATTGTTTAAAAAAATGCGTCTTTGCTTTTTGCTAAAAAAGTCTAAATGTTGTGTTTTCAATTTTACAATCCCCTTTTTGTGTATGTTTTTTAACGGTGGCAGGCAAAAATATCTCCAATAGATTTTGATTATCTTGGTTATTTCAACCTGCGGTACAACGAATACAAAAACAAGAAGAACAAATGCTTCACCATAGCAAAAGCCTTCCTCACACAATCCAAGACGTGGTGATTGAACTTGTAGTCTTGTACGGAGTATTATACGTAATATTCTATTATAGCACCGGACATTCATAAATGCTGGCTGTGTAATACAACTAGAAATACTATACGTGTTATCATGGATCCATGATCTCTGTATGTTTCATCCATCTGGATCGCAAGTGGGCCCTCTGTAGTGTATGTATTATTAATGCAAAGTTGCTCCACCGGATCCAAAGTCCTACTCTAGTAGCCTTGTACGCATGTAGATCGTTAGGACATTATTTCCACGATTGTTTTGTAATAATCATACGTTTGATAATAGTCTTCTACATCGGTTATTATGTTTGCCCAAAGATTTTAACCATTAGGTTTAATAATCATCCGTTTGATAATAGTCTTCTACATCAGTAGGGAGATTTCTAGTAGAAAACTAGAAATGCTCTTAATTAGGAAAAACGTGAATTTTCAAAATAATAAGAATGCTATATTTTTCTCCTAAATTACAATAATTATTATCACGCTTGCTTGTAAGAATGTAAGATATTGTCAGATATTATATTATTAGTCACATTAATAAATGATGATGCTGAATTATGACACTGATTTCAAAATGACAATAATTTAAGGAAAAAAATATAGTATTCATATTGAGTAAATCACATTGTTTTTACTTTTGTTACTCGAAATTCTTCGATCCTAACTCCTAAGCAGGTAATAGTGAAAAATGGAAACCAAAACGTTGGTGCAAAAGTGGATGAGTGGAGTATTTAATGAATTTTCAAAATAAGAAATGAGTTCACTAATCTTCTATTATACAAAAGCAAGTGGAAAACTGTACAGTGTTCCCGCCCAAACACTGTACAGTAACGGGCCGGGTCAGGTTTTCCATGGGTGCAGAGACAGGTCAGTGAGGAGGCCCAATTCTATGTTTAAATGTTTTCCCAGCATCCAATGTTTCAGGTTTGTGGCCCAGGACAGATCATTTAATGTTGTCTACCTTTATGAATAAAAAATGAATTTAAGTTGTACTTATAGTTGATGGTTGAACAAGATTAAAAAAATGCAATTTGAACAAGATATTTTATAGTTGATTAGAACAAGATATTAACGATTCTCTCTCCTCCAATTTGAAATGAAATGTACCCACACGATGCACTCATTGAGCCTCCCAAACAATAAATGCAATGTACTTTTATGGATAAAGAAATAGTTTCAGTTGTACTTTTAACATATAGATCATAATTAGAATCCCAATGCAGCCTTGAGCCTCAAAAACATTTAATACATTGTATTCACGGTTCTCTCCAATTCAAAATGGAGCCACACAACAATTCTTGAGCCCCAAAAACAATAAATGCAATGTATTAGGTCCCAATTAAATTTTTGTACTACAAAATCTCAAAGCAAAGATTGAGTGGGTATTTAACCCTTAGTCAATACCCAATTGCTTCCACATTATGCTCCCAACAGCTCCTCCTATAAATACCCAGGTTGGGGGTGCTCTAAACACACCACAAGCAAGCAATTCCATACCCCTGGGTACCATACTATCAGGAATGTATTCCTTTATCAAGGATGTCCATCTGGGCTTTATGGGTGAAGGAGGTAAGGGCATTCGAGATGCCACCAAAGTCCAAAGGCTTTGATGGGGTTCATTGACTCACAGGTAGTACGACACCATTATTTTTCTACTACATTTTATGCCAAAGTATTTTTTCAAAAAATAGTTTTTGTGGCAGGGAGATATAATTTATGGCCTAATCAAGAGGCTGCACTTAGAAATGTTGAAGTCAAAGTGTAACCAAGAATCAGTTATTCTATAAAGAACAACTTTAAGTTCTTCAGAAACATTTACTTTTAGTATTGTGATTCTTTGAAAGGGCAGAATTTTATGTTTAAAATAATTAACTTTACTTCATTTTTCCACAACAAGCAATAAAGATGTGCTATAAAAGACTTTCTCCCTGTGAAAAAATTTGTTTAGAGAAACAATTCAGAGCTTCTTATCTTAAAAATAAAGATGAATACTATTTATTATACCTGGTCATCTCTCTGTGCACACAGAGGAGTAGAGGACCCTGCATTCCTATTCTAAGCTTATAATTAACTACTACATCACTCATTAATATTACAGACATGAGCACCTTAAGAAGGCCCCTGAAAACCTAAAGAATACATTTTTAATGCAATTCTAACAAAAATGCTAATAGAATCCACACTTGGACCTGTATCATAAAACAAATAACAAATGGATATTACAATATGACATTAATAATACACACTTCTTAAGTTACAAATGTAGGTACTTAGCTGATATATACACATTTATGCTTATATAATCTAATAATAAAATATTTCTTTCGCAAGAAAACTAAAACTACTAGGTATATGTTCCAAGTTAGAAATAAATTATGTTATAAAACATGTTCCAAATCCAAAATTAGAGGTAGAAAAAATGTGGAAAATAAACCAATATTGGATTTTTGGGTGAAGGAGATAAAGAAACTTGGTTGAAGAAGCCTCACATAGTCTTAAATGTATAAGAAAGAACATTTTATAAATCATTCAGGGTTCCAGTAAACTATAACTTACTAGAACATATTCAATACAATAAGTCATTAAAATATTAAAATCTTTATTGTGCCCAAATATTTTATAATCTGATCGATCAAAATATCTAACAAGTACATGATAGATAGTATGCATGACATTAAGGTACTGGTCATCTCATTGGTTTAAGAGATTAGCATGGTAATGTCATATACATAGCTCATATTTTATTTACTTACCCCAACTGTAATTTCTTTCATCAAAGTATAGCGTTATGATAAAAAATGTTCTACAGTTTTAGATAAATGTGTACCCAATTGATGGATCTCATCGGATTGCTAAAAGCAATACTAAAAAAATACAGATCTATTACAACTGCACATGCGGAAACTAAAAATCAATTGCATATTTGCATGTATACAAAAACTAACGAAACTGTAATTACAGTATAGAATATACCAAAAAAAGACGAACCTAAAAACTTATAGATCTCAACACATGTCTAAAATCAATACACAAAATATACAGATCTAATGAATGAGTTTAATTTCATAAAATATCATGTGTGCTTTAAATTGTATAAACATTTAGAAAAATATAACATATTTGGAGCTAGGGGGTCAGAAGACAAATCATCTCAAAAACATACCTCAAGCGCAGCCCTCAACTCAAATCTAACAGCAACAACAGCACCAGAGTCATCGACAAGCAAAGGGGTAAGAAATCTAATCAACGATCTTTAAAATCAACAGTCCCAAACAACGAATAAAGAACAAAAAACATACCTGATCAACTCTGTAGAACACAAGTCATAGCACCACTCCCGTATGCATGAACACAAAGCTCGAACGAGTCAAGCTTCTCCACGACAAGAGTATGCACCAAGAAGGAACATCAATGTTGATCTTCCCAGGCTGCCAACCGAAGAAGAAACGACCACCTTCATAGACATAAACAGGGGCTCCGCCTTTTACGACAGACTGAATGAAGAAGATAGGAATATACGATGGTCGGGTAAGGAGGCTGATGGGTAAATGTTTAGGCTGCAGGGTAAAAAGGTTACTTTTATAGGAAGGGTTAGGTTTGGGTTGTTTCGTAGGTTTTAATTTAAGGTGTTGGGTTGGGTTTAATTGGGCCATGTAAAAGTGGTTAGAATTGGCCTGTACAAATTGGTGGTTGTTAAAGAGTTATAATTTTACTTAGTTAATAATACTCCGTATTATTTTTTAATACATTCAAATTATGAATTTCTGCAATTGTAAAAAAAAAAATATAAAATAGGTTTAATTTTGTTATTATAATTATATAATTATATTAAGTAATTAATTAATTAACACGGAGTAATTATTAATATCAGATTATTGCTACCTTCATCCTTCTTAAAGTTTTTCATTATAAAACATCACGATTATTTAAACAATAATTAAATTAGATTATTTGATCATACTTTCAAAAATAATTTCGATAGATATATACTATATATACTATAATGGGATGATCGGATGAAATGGATGGATATTGCTTTATTATGTTATATGATAATTGCATTATAATGATAAACTATCCAAATTTATAAATTAGAAATGTTATTATTGCTATTAATTTCTATAATTATTGACATTGATTACAACTATGTGGTATATAAGAATTTGAAAATACATAGAGGTTGTTTCGGACAATGATTTTCAAATTAAATTAATGTATTTGAATTTGGCTAAATTTACAAGTCTAAGTTTATGACTACTAGAATTTAAAATTAAATATATTTATTATGAGGGTAGACTAGATATTTAAATTAATTTATTGAAATCAGTCATGACCTCTTATGCGATGAAATAAATAAGAATCAAGGTCAATTTTTGCCATACCTTGGTTTCTTTAATATAAAAGTTAGTGTTTACTCATGGTCAATTGTATGTTGCAGTATCCAGAATAACAAATCGTAAGGGTTTGAAATATTGATTTACGGTGAAGATGGAGAACACACTTATCATACTACCAATGTTGTTTACAAGGAAGTGTTTCGAACTGTGTAGAATGTAGGAATCTTATTGTAACATTTGTTTATTTCTTTTATTCCAAAACATACTCACTACCAATGCATGAGTCATAAATATCGTTTCTTAAATAAAAATTTATTATATGTATTAAGCCTTTACTATTTTCATGCTTTTATTATACGTGAATTAATAGTTTAATCTTTACTGACAAATAAGGATATACATCTTTTACTTTATTTTTGTCCCGTGCATCGCACGGGTGGGAATCTAGTTTGGAACAATGGAGAAAGAAATCAATCAAATCATGGTGCTTCCAGATTCCAGTGGAGAGTGGAGACCATTGCCTCTGCTTTCCCCCGATTTTCTTCCCCAGTGTGCACACATTTGTCGTATTTGCTGATATTTTATTAGTTCATCTTACTCTATAATGTTTTTTGAATAGTTGATGCATAGTTTGTGTTAGAATTTACTCTGTACAAGATAAAATGCTCTATCATAAGTGGTATGATGGTATGTAACTATGTACCATTTGGTCGATATTTTCAGAAATGATAGAGGTACACAAGTTGTACACAATTTGTACACAAAATGTCGCTCACAAACAATTGGCACAGAGTTGGCTGTGAGCACAAACAAGAGTTGTCTATGTCCACATACATTAATTTTCCATGTACAGAGAATGAAGAAGGGAAGAGGAAGATGAAGGAGAGAAGATGATCATCTCATATTTTTTGAGAATTTTCGAATGGATTGGGTAAAGAGGAAAGAGAGAAGGGAGAGAGGGGGAAGAGAGAAGGGG